AGCAGCAGTAGCCGTAGCAGCAGCAGGAGTAGTAGTAGTAGTAGTCGTCGTCGTCGTTGTCGTCGTCGTCGTAGTAGTAGTAGTAGTAGTAGTAATACTAATAATAATATTATTAATAATAATAATAATAACAGTGGTAGTAGCGATGGTAGAAGTAGCAGCAGGTAGCATCAAGTAGCAGCAAGTAGCAGCAAGTAGCAGTAGCAGTGGCAGCGGCATTGGCAGCGGCAGTGGCAGTGGCACTTGTGGTAGGAGTAGTGGTAGTAGTGGTTGCAGTAGCTCCCCCGCTCTACCATTACCTCTCCTTTGAAGGGGGCTGGGGCGGGGTAGGGGGTGGGCTTTTCAGGTTCAAAGGTACCGTTGTCATGCATACTTACTGGTGGTCGCCGACGAGGACGACGACGACTACTTACCACTGCTGCCGCTACGGAACGTATCATGGGATTTAGAAACTAGCGTGATCAACAAGGTAACTATACAAAGATTTTCTTTGAACCCTAATGAAGGTACTGATAACCTTACGTAGCAAGTCCCATGATCCTCCCTTAGAGCATCCTTAGAGATCCCTATAGCATCCTTATAGATCCCCTTAAGGAGCCCTTTAAGGAACCCATGATCCTCCAAGCACCCGGTCTCAAGATCGCCAGTCACTACCGAGGACCGGCGATTCCGAGACCACCGCTGCCAAGAGGAGCCGCTTCCATGGCGACGCTTTCCCAAAGGGTTTAGGGTTTAGGGTTCTTAGGGTTTTTAGGGTTTAGAGTTTAGGGTTTAGTGTTCAGGGTTTAGGGTTTAGGCTTTAGGGTTTAAGGTTTTTAGGGTTTAGGGTTTCGGGTTCAGGGTTTAGGCTTTAGGGTTTAGGGATAGGGCTAAGGGTTTAGGGTTCTTTGAGGGCTTTAACTAACCGAATCTTTATGCGGATTCTGGTTTTGACCGGGTCTTGTGCGGTTCTGTTAGTAAGGGCTTTAGTTTAGTCGGCCCTTGTGCGTTTCTGTAGAGCACCTATAACTTATAGGGCAACACCTTCGGTGAAAGCCATAAAGTCTTCCTCCCTTCCCACTGGCCCTAAACCCAAAACCCTAAGCCCTAAACCCAAAACCCAAAACCCTAAACCCTAAACCCAAAAACCCAAAACCCTAAACGGGTATGCCGCGATTGAGTCAGGGTTAGGGCCAGGCCCCAGGGCTTGGGGTTCAGTTGCCGCTGTCACGGTTCAGGGTTTAGGGTTTAGGGTTTAGGGTTTAGGGTTTAGGGTTTAGGGTTTAGGGTTTAGGGTTCACGGTTCAGGCTGTGAGTGAGTACAGGGGCCTTAACAATTCGACTAGGGTTTTGGGGATTCGTATACTATAGTTATGATTAGGAGCCGTTATACTACCATTTTTTGGAGCTCCCCAAAACCTATTCTAATTATGATGGCACCTCGTAGTAGACGCTTTGGGGTGCAGGGTATGAGTCTGACTGAGGTGCTCTACGGCTTCTGGCCGACGCTGTCTTGGACGATTCTGATCCTTGTCTGGCGCTGAGCTTGCAATGCCTACCTAGGGGCTCCAATGTAGTTCCTTTTTGGGTCTGTTATGGTTTTTTGGTAAGGAATTATAGTATATTTATCCAAACAGGAACTACATAGGAGGCCCTGGGTAGATGGGGGCGTAGTCCAAGGCGTAGGAGTCAGCTTCATAGTTTATAGCTTTGCGTAGGGTTCAGGATTAGGCAACTCGGCGAGGGTTTTGTGTTTAGGCGGTTTAGGGTTTTTGGGTTTGCGGTTTCGGGTTTTGGGTTGAGGCAACTGGGTGACAGCGAGCGCCCGCTCGAGCCCTTATTCCTCCAACCGATGACGTCGGGGTACCCTAAACCGTAAACCCTAAACCCTAAACCGTAAACCCTAAACCCTAAACCGTAAACCCTAAAGTGGATTGACTTGTGCTGAACCCGCTTCTGGGATGCTTCAACTAATTACCCCACAGCACCCAGCACTGCCAATCGGTAAGAAGGTGCAGAGAGTGAAGCCGACTGTGTTGCAAAGACAGACGGTCACGGGCTTCATTAGGAGTGCGAAAAGGAGTGCGAAAAGACAGCGCAACAGGTCCTCCTCACGAATATGGGTTTAGGGGTTTAGGGTGTTTTGGGATTAGTTTTTAGGGTTAGGGTTTGTTTAGGTTCCTCATACTACCTCAACCCTAATCCCTGCCCTAAACTTAAACCCTAAACTTAAGCTTCGACCCGAAACCCTAAACCCTAAACCCTAAACCCTAAACCCTAAACCCTAAACCCTAAACCCTAAACCCTAAACCCTAAACCGTACCTCACCCCTCACCAAGCAAGGCATTCACCCTGTGGCTCAACGTGCGCTGGTCCATGTCGGGATCCCTCGGCTTTTCACATCTCGACAGAAGGATCCCTGCGCAGACTTGTCTTGCTTCTTTTAGGGTTTAGGTTAGGGTTTAGGGTTTAGGGTTTAGGGTTTAGGGTTTAGGGTTTAGGGTTTAGGGTTTAGGGTGCAGGGCTTTCGTTTAGGGTTTAGGGGGCGTCCTGACGTGGTTAACTACGATGTGATGCAGGTTTCTTTTGATTCTGGATGTGTGGGCTAAAGACTTCCTACCTGTTCATGCCATGGGCACATCGGCCCCTATGAAAAGGCTATGTTTTCGACCGTGTAAGGCATGTAAGCCTCCGGTTGTAGTATGTGGGGAGGCATATAGGTCGTATAGATGTTTATGTTGGCCCAGGCATCGAAGATGTTTTGTTCCACGCATGAAGGTTCCGGGGTTAGGTTGTGGAAAGTACGACCAAAGCCCTAGTCGAAAATCAGCGTTCGGGGGGTTTCGTGATTCAGTGACAACCACCCCATGTAGTCCTTATAGTCACAGAATCCAGAATGCCTACACCCCTATCCGACCCTTACTTCTTAGAACCCCCTTAATATCAGTCTTAAGCCCTCCTTAAACCCTCAAAGCCCTAAAGCGTATAAGGGGGCAGGGAATTTCAGACTCATAACAGCAGAGCCCACCAAGAAGAACATCGGAGACACCTTATCAGATGATCAACCCTAAACCTTACAACTTCTAGGAATCCATTAGTTTCAACTGCGAAGCCTTGTAAGTCTTTCAGGAACCTCCCCCCCCGATATAAATCCTAGGCCCTGAATCCTAAAGGAACCCATTAATACACATTCCTCAAGCCTTAACCCATTAATACACATCCCTCAAGCCTTACTTTAAACCTCAGAGCTCAGAGGACCCGCCCTAAAGATCCCAAACCCAAAGCTCCGAAGGACCGCCGTTGAGGCATCACCACTCCTGCCTGGGCCAACGAGCCTCCTCGCGTTTCGCGCGGTGCCCTGGGCTTCGATGGTCTGGGGGGGGGGGGGGGGGGNNTACTTTGGTATCGGAAATCATCCCACGAAGTCCCAAGGTGATGACCTCGACAGCCAACTTGCTTCATGCTCTCCCGTCGCATCGGAGCACTCTTCGTCCGTTCGTTCGAGGTCACTGTCTTGGGATTGTGCGCCCAGGCGCGCCCACCCAGCTGGAAAACTTCGAGTTTCCATGCTGGTGAGCTGGGCACGCACGCACTGTCTTGTGAGTTCTGACTTCAATGTATGCCCTACTTGCAGTCACTGCCGCATTTGTGCCTGCCACTTGATCATGCCTAATCACTGCTCCAATGCTGTCCACTGCCTCCCCGAGTTACAAAATCGACTGCAATGTCTTTCCCCGGCATCATGAGTAATTACCTTAAGAACCCAAAAACCACTTNNCCACTTTATTGTAGGTTCTTATTATAAACCTTAATATGGGATTTATAGGGACCCTACAAAAAAGTAGGTTTTGGGTTCTTAAGGTAGGGGTGAGACGACCGGAGTATCGCTTTGCAACATCTTTGTACACTTGCTTTCGCAAAACTTCCCGACCTCTCTATTTGGTTACCTAGGGGCTCCAATGTAGCTCCTTTTGGGGTCTGTTATGGTTTTTTTGGTAAGGAGTTATAGTATACTATCCGAAAAGGAACTACATAGGAGCCCCTGGGTAGTCAGCGAGCAGTACCCTAAACCCTAAACCCTAAACCCTAAACCCTAAACCCTAAACCCTAAACCCTAAACCCTAACGTCTCCCCGCGAGGTTTCCGTGGTGTTGACATGGGCGCCTCTGGCCGGTGCTGTGGCTTTCTATCGGCGAAAGCGGAAGGCACGTGGATTCAAGTATCGGTTTAGGGTTTAGGGTTTAGGGTTTAGGGTGGGTGGTTGTCAAAATTATGGTCCCTTTTTGGGTCCTTATTATAATACGGCACCTAATATCTAGGGTACCCCAAAAGGAACCATAATTTTGACAACTGCCCACATAGATTCAAGTATGACGTCCCCTAGACCCTAAGAGCCTCAACCATAAACTCCTAACCCTAAACCTAAAGTCCGTCACGAAGCTCGCCTTCTCAACCTGTCCATTTATAAACTTTAGACAAACAAAGCTAGATAGACAGCAAACCCTAAACATTGCAGCACTAAGCCCCAAAAGCGTGCACTTCAAACACCAACCCCGCCAGCGTGCCAAAAGCCCGAGCCTACCTACGTCCTTTCTTCGGTCGCCTTGGTAAATCTTAGCAAACCCATTTGCAACAATGAACGTCCCGTATGCCATGGACCTTCCGAAAGAGTAAGCCCTTATGCAACTTCCAAAACACCAATACGGAAACTCCCTTAAGGTAACCCTTAAAGACTTAAAGGACCTCCCTTGAACCCAACCCTGATGTGCAAACAGGAGGAAGGCGAACCGCTCTTCCTGCAGGGCTTTGAGGTGCTGTTGATCTTCTGCACCCTCTGGACAGGGAGTTGGTTGAGGATTCACAGATTTGTTGGATCAAGCTCGTATGTTTGGGGTCGTGTGTGTTGGCTCGTGGGTCTTCAGGTTTTTGATCCAGTTGATGTGGCTTTGAGTTTTTGATCTGGCCCTGAACTACCATCCCAAAAATCGAAAGATACATTTCGGACACAGGAAGCTCTTTGCACGATACTCCGCAAGTCTACCCTGCAAAACCCGAGTTGAGGGAAGAATCAATTCCCAAAACCCGAAGTGTACCTAGAGGACCAACATAGTCTCCATTGTAGTTCCTTGCTTTGGTTTAGTCGCGTTTTATAAAAGCATCCCATACCAGCCTTGTAGGCCCCAAAGGAACGACAATGGAGACCATAGGTAAAGCTCAGTCCGTCTGAGCCTCTGCAATGAAGTAATATAGGGGCCTAAATCATTACCTAGACGATTCTTGGGTTCCTTTTTATATTTATAGTATCAAAAAACCCGAAACCCTATTCTAACTATTAAGGCCCCTACATATGGCCTTTCTAGCTCGCCGATTGAGATTTTGCTGAGTTTGGGAGCCAGTGCACCTCTTCCAAATTGCGTTGGTTTTCTATTCCTAAAGCCTTACACTTCAAACCCTAAACCCCAAAGCCTCAAATTGGTACTTTTTCTGTTTGGAGCTTGCGCGGCCTTGGCTCGGTGCAGGACGTGGTGTTGGAAGGCCATGTATTTCTTGTTCGCCAGCAGCTGCTTGGCGAATCCCAGGTAGGGCGGAAATCTCGTCTCCTCGTCCTAGAAAAGGATCATGTATTCATTCATGGATACAGGACTATGCGTAAGTGCGTGATGGTGATAAGAATGACGGGAATGTAGAAGTTGTTCTGTAGTCTTGAGACGTTGATGACGGACGACGACGGACGATGCCGAACTACGGCGAACACGAGACCTGGTGCTACTACGATGACAGGGTTTCTTAAATTTTAGGCATTATGTCCTGGCAAAACCTACTTTGTCTTACGGTCCGCATGATTTCGATCTTCCTTGGGGTGAGCCCGAAAAGGAAGCGGCAGTAGCTTAAGTAGCTACAAACCCTAAATCCTAATCCCTAATACCAGGCCAGGATCCTTCCAATCAGCGCCAGGCTCGCGAGTCCGATAGACATGATCTTCAGCTGAAGCCCGAAACGACAAGACAATGCAAAGAAGCACCATAAGCATAGCAAGGAGCCGTCTATAGTGTGAGTGTGTGCTTAAAAGTGTGTGTATATATATGTATATGTATATATGTAGACATACCTGCATACAGACGGACAGACAGACAGACCGACAGACAGACAGACAGACAGACAGACAGACAGACAGACAGACAGACAGACAGACAGACAGACAGACAGACAGACAGACAGACAGACAGACAGACAGACAGGCATACGGATG